GGCCTTTCCCCAGGGAAGAACCTGCTCCACTCCCAGCCCCGGCGTTTAATTGCAATCCGCAGAAATTACAGCACATGGCATTGCTGGCTGAGGGCTCCCCCACCGCTACAGCTGCCCCGCGATGCCGTCAGCCCTGCCGAGAGCTGCCAGGGCGGTGCAGAGCCCCTGTCCCCTCCTGCAGTGACAAAGGGGGGAGACAATGTCCCCCCTTCCAGGCACTGGAGCAGAGCTGGGAACCTGGCAAGTCTGGACTTGGAGGTGCAGCACCGCACTGGCGAGCAGGGAGGGGACCGCTGGGTTTCAGCACTCCCTCACAGGTAGTTGTCCTCTTCCTCCTCCTCCTCTTCCTCATCCTGCGCCAGTGCCTCGATGTCATGGGTGATGTCCGTGATCATGCGGTTGAAGGACTCGGACTCGGAGCGCAGGGACCAGCTGTCGTAGCTGCGCACGGCCGAGGCCGACGTGTTACTCATGCTGCGCTTGATGCGGCCGAAGCTGTCGGTGAGGATCCCGCCCTCCCGGATGCCGATGCTCTCCAGGAAGGTCTCAAAGTACCCGATGTCTTGATCGGGGATGAAGGGCCTCATTCCTGCCATGGGCACCGTGAGCCTGAGGGTGACCCTGCCCGGGTGGGCAGCGCTGGGGTGCGATGCCAGCCAGCCCCACCGGCTGCTTGCAGGGGGCTCATCCCATCCTGTCCCCTGCAAGCAGCGAGGTACCAACACCCCCCGGAGCACACCCAGCACCAGCACCCCGTCCCCAAGCAATGCACAGACATCACTAGGGTGACATGGTGACACAGGGTGGCTGCAGCGGGAGCCCAGACACTCACCCAGGAGGAGGAATTTCCTGCGGTCCCCGTAGAGGCGCAGGAGCTCGGCGCAGTACTCCCGCACCGGCGTGCCCAGGCGGTACTCGCGGAGCAGGAGAGCGAACTGCTGGATCTCCTGCGGTGACAGCTTGTTGCGCAGCTGCGGGGACATGGGGATGGGTCGGGGCTGGGGACAGCAGGAGTGCACAGCCCCGGCCCCCCCCTCTGCACCCCGCCAGCTGCTCCCCAGTGTGGGGGGCTCAGACCTGCCCACCGCCCCCCCTCCCCAGCCGCTGGCACCGAGCAGGGCCCCTCGCCTGTCCCCATGCCCGCACCGTCACCATGTAGTCCTGCAGCTGCTCCAGCCCCGTGCCGCTCTGGTCGCTGCCGCTGCAGGCAGTGGCCAGGCTGTGGTGGGATCGGTGGAAGGAGGGTGAGGAGGCACCGCTGTAATAGGCTTCGAAGGTCTCATGGGAGCCGTTGCTGCAGGAGGACGGGGGTCAGCGGGTCCCGGCACCCCTCGTGTGCCCGCCTGCCCCCCTCGCTGCAGAGCACTGGCCATCGGGCAGGGCTGGGGCATCTCTGCAGCCAGGACAGGCACCCACCCTGAGGCAGGGGGACCCACTCCGGTGCAGGGGCACCCACCCTGGGGCAGGGGCACCTTGGGAGGAGCCAGACTCACAAGGAGCTGCAGCAGCTGAAGTCGGCGTCGTAGCCGTACGTCCCGTCCGTGCGGCAGCTCTCCCCTGTGGACGGAGGTCTGAGAGTGGGGCCAAGCCTCTGCCGGGGCACCTGCCCCCCGTGCTGTGCCCGCGCACCCCTGCCCTCAGCCCCGTGCCGCCCTGCTCGGCAACCCCATGCCTGTCCCCGGCCACTCACTCCTGCTGGAGAGCCAGGGCCGCGTGGGCGTGGAGGTGTAGTGGTATCCGGCACGGTCCACACACTCGATGCTCTGGTCCCCGTAGATGATCTGGAAGACCTGGCAGATGAGCGCACAGGACTCCTCGGCGGCATCCTGGAGTGGAAGG